TGTTAAATTATCATCAATTTTTAATGAACAATGCTATTAGGACCTAATTTACTGACTTAATTTACTGTAATCTTTGGATTGACTGTAGGCCCTATCAAACATTAGAACTTGATGTTGATCCAATGATTCCTATAAAACCACATTATTATGTCAGTAAACTATGTCAAATTTTTATGTCCAAATAGCATTATTCATTTTTAATATTTAATGAGACTCATAATCAATCAAATGACAATAATAAATTACGTTATTAAGCTAGGTAAATAAATTGGGTCACAGTATCATTGCTATTTCTTAATTGAGGTGATAAATGAACTATGATGGAATAAAACTTAAAAATCTTCCAGGCCAAACAATTTCTTCCATGCACGTGAGGGGCGGCCCTGCATAAGATGGGGTTTAAACCGAAAATTTAAATGAGGTGCTATTAATTTTTAAAATTAATTTTTAGATTTAAATTATTATAAAATATTATTTATATTATTTTATTTTGAGATGCAAAAATATTTATCAAAATTTTCTATTCAAATTTTATTAATATGTATTTTTAAATAGATAGTATTGTTAATTCGAACAAAGTGTAATACCAAATATAATGGCAAGATAGAATTTGATTAGATTTAATGTTAATATAATTAATGAAAATAAATATAATTATAAATAATAAAATATCAGTTAAATATCATAGAATAAAATGTTTTTTAATGTTGCCATAAACAACATAAATAAATTATGAACAATCCCAAATCAAATCTAAAAAAAATTAATTTTAATTTTTTGGGGTACTAAAATAAAACTGAACTTAATTGAATATGCATTTAACAATTTTATTTTAAATGTTAGACTCAATTTTATTTTAAATCTTCATAAAATGTAAACCTAAAATGATGGCTATTTAATGACTATGCCATTGACCCGGCTTGATGCGCTTGACTTTTATCAAACTCTTTGTTAGAAATGGTTTGGGAGGATTAATGAAAACGGTGTCACATGTTATTAGAAACTCTTGGTCTAGATAACGAGCTTCTCTAATACCTTATGGGTTTGGGATTATGACATCCCCGCAACTATCATCACAGTCTGGCTTGCGGAGGTCCGTTTTCCTTTCGCCCATTCCACACGGAGTTGTGGGTCGTGGTTAATCCACACAATCACTTTCTTTAATTTTATATTTTAAATTAAGATAAAAAATATTATTTATATCTAATTTAAGAATTAATTTAAGTTGACAAATTAAGTCCAAATAGCATTGCTTAATAAATATAGATGGTTTAATCAGTGGTTTCTATTATTTTTTAAATAAAATTTGTTGATCCAATAATCCAAACTAATTTAAGACGTAAAATTTGAAAAACATTTTGAGAATTGTAACAATGTTAATCGTGTAAAAATTTTCAATCATATAATTTGGATTAAATTCTATGATTAAAACTTATTCTAATTATTAGATTAATAGTAGATCTTAATATAAAACAGAGTTCACTTTCAATTGAACAATAATAACAAATTTGATTAATAAATTTTCTGAAGAACTTTTTCGTACCTCGGTACCTTTTTCGTAAAATCAATTTCCCATGAAATTCTCTTGAAGTTAAAAAAAGCTTATTTTTTACTTTCTTTTTTTCTTCAATCTCCCAATAAAATGTTGCTCAAATAAGCGAATCTTCACTAAAAGTCGGCTCTATCGGCGGATGGACACCTTTACTAATGTTGGTAGATCCACTTGCAGTAAATTTGGGTAGTTCCTTTTGGTTGGACCCATACGAAGCTTTAATGGTGGGTGGGACACAGGTGACTATTCCTTAGCATCTTCACGTTATTCGTACCAAAGGAAAAGTAATACACTGTTATTTCCTTTTCTTCCACATTCTACAACAAGCTGAACTTGAAGGTTGCTTTTGTAAATTCTAGTTCTCTTCGTGTTAAAATTTATGATGGGTTCAATCATACTGTTCCGAAGGCTTATTCAAGTCATCAGCTGGTATTTTGTTCTAAAACACAATGTTTTACAATGTTCTTTGATGGGACGTATCTAGAAGTTAGATTCATGACACATATTCTTGACACCAAGGAGCTTTTCTTGCCTCTGTCATAGCCACGTGTCCTTGGTCTCAGAAACCTCAATTTAAAACTTGATACCAATATATCTCCCTTGGCTGCAGCCCGCTCGGTCATGAGAGTACTTTCTGTGACCCCACTCACCCGTTTTAATGCATACTCCTCGACTCATAAACCCTCGACTCCTAAGAAGACTAAGGACTGACAGATGGACAGTCTAAACTAGACTAGGAATTGCGAGGACACCCCACATAAAGCTTTCAGGGTGATAGGTTGAATTGGACTTTCAGCCAAAGAATGTCAGACACGCGGTGACAAGTACGACATAAAGAGTAAAAAAACAGGCTTGTCCTTGCTGATATGCAGCCAATAAAGACGCACATTTAATGCGCCATCAGTTGACCAAATGTTTACTGCAGCTTGATAAGTCACAAAGTTATAGCTTTGAATGCTTGGAGATCCGGGCTTTTAATGCTACCACGTACAAGAAGTAACATTAAATACTTGGCAAGCCGAACAATCAATACTAGAGCATTCCCCATCAAAAGTAAGGGGCAAACTGTCCCACCTCTGAAGACTATCAATAGTCTAAATTGTCAGCAATGATGACCCTTTGAAGGTATAAATAGTCTGCAAAAACACATTGTAAAGGTACGCGATATTGCCTTACAAGAATCATACACTGTCTTCTTCATCCCCTCTTCTCTAAAAGAACTGATTTGACCGTCAGAGGGGATATATCGGAGAACACTCCAACACCCTTCTAACCTGTTTTCTGTGTATTTAGGAATTTCTCACGGATCTTCGTAATCAGTTTGACGACCCCCCAACAGTAATTTATCACCAGTTTTTAGGCTCCCTTTGTCCCTCTCAACCTATTTCTTGTTACCGGATCTACCGTTCCGACGGGTCGAATCTCAACCGGAGTCGATCGGATACCCCCAAAAACAAATCATTACAACAACCTAAGTTTCCTTTGTCCCTCTCAACCTGTTCTCATTCTGTCAGAATCGCCTTCTCGACGAATCAGAGTTCATCGTGGGAAAGATCTATTCTCATTCCAATTATTGTGCAAAAATCCGCACACACATTGTTCTAAAACATAACCTGTTATTTTGTTCTCAGGAATTGTGTATTTTATACACACTGTCTTATTACGTAACTATGAGATTAGTGCTATGGTTCTATGATGTTTTGTAATTACTAGCTTCAGCCTCAACTTGGATTCATGCTTGAACTATTAAATGAGCCTATACAAGTCGAGCCCAAAGTGTGTTTTTCGGGGCAAGCTTGAACAAAAATTCAAACTCAATAAGCCCGAGTAGAGATAACACAGTTGAATTATGACACATCCATAAAAATAGGGCACAACCAAAAAAAAACAAGAGGATAAAAGTACATTTTGTAAAGTAATTATAATGTCAGTTTCGCACTGAGAAGATCAATGCATAATTAAATAGGCGCGATTGTCGAACTCTCAATGGGTTAATAGTAGGTAGCCTTCAACTGCGGTTGATTATGAAGAAATTGTTGAACATAACATCACGTGGTATGACGAAATCAATCAAATAGATTTTCAGCTTATTACTTTTCTTTTAGATTATTATTTATCTTGATGTGATTGTATCTTTACCCTAAAAATGGGGCACTATATAATGAGAATATGTTTTTTTTTTAATTTTTTTTTTTTGGGACATAGGGAGGTGAGAAGGGGCTTGAATCTTTGACAACAAGAAGACACAACACAACTTGGTATTTTGTTCTCTAAATAATGATAACGCTTTAAAGTTGAACAACAAAATATTCTTAATAACCATCATAAGATGAAAAAATGAAAAAAAAAAAAAAATAACTATATAGGAAGTTCATCAATACATTGAAAATTTGTTTCTCAACGGAAAGGTGACGCCAAAGCAAATTCCCAGTAACTATATAAACAAAGCTACTATAAAACTTCGACGAAATTTCGGCATAAACATTGTAAACCTGAAGAGGACATATTGAACAAAAACTATAGAAATGATAATAGGTAGACGTGAATATCAATTTCTCATTAATCTATCTCATCAATTTTTGTTGTGCTGAAACACTCATCTCCCACCATTTACTGGCACGATTATATGATCCCTCATGCTATCATACCCCACATTAATTGTGCTAGTAGTACCACCATTGTATCCATAGACATCTGATGTCTCGCCAAGCAAGGACTCAGTCTCCTCTGAATTCAATTCAGCTTTAACCCATGGATGCTTTGTCATTAGTCTCAATCCCTCTAGTTCCATTGCTACTTCCTTCATGGTTGGCCTATCCTCCCCTTTTATATTTAAACACCTTTTTGCTAGCCTAGCAACCTCATTGAGCTGATCAGTATTTCCTTCGCGTACTAAACGATCCTCAAGAACCTGGGACAAGCGATCCTCCTTCAATGAAGAAAGAAAATATATAGCCAAGTTTCTCTCCTTCTCTGGTATGTCGAAAGATAATGGCTTCCTTCCTGATAGTAGCTCTATGAGGACTACTCCGAAACTGTAAACATCACTTTTCTCTGTCAATTGGCTTGTTTGCATGTATTCAGGATCCAAGTATCCAAGAGTTCCTTGAACCATTGTAGATACCTGTGTATGATCCAGAGGAACCAACCTTGAGGCACCAAAGTCGGACACTTTTGCGACATAATTATCGTCTAAGAGTATGTTGGTTGACTTGATATCCCTATGGATAATAGGGATAGAAGCTGCAGAGTGCAAATATGAGAGCACTCCCGCAGTTTCTGCAGCTATCCTTAAACGGGTGTCCCAAGAAAGAGCAGATGTGTCGATTTTATTGTGTATGTGTTCAAAGAGGGTGCCATTGTTAATGAATTCGTAAACTAGTAAGGGTACTTCGATCTCCAAACAACAACCCAACAGCTTGACCACATTCCTGTGGTTGATTTTGGAGAGAACAACCACTTCATTGATGAACTGCTCAATTTGGGTTTGATCTACCATTTTTGACTTCTTGATGGCAACTAATCTTTTATCAGTTAAGTATCCTTTGTAAACAGTGCCATAACCTCCTCGCCCGATGACTCTGGTTTCATTGTAGTTGTTGGTTGCCATTTTAAGTTCTTCGGAGGTGAAAACTTTTACTGTATCAGTTGATCTTTCTAGTCCAGAGAGTCGCTGTTGTAACATAAGACCACCATTCTGCCGAAAGAACTTTTCTTTGAGCTTCATCAAATTTCTTTTCTTTAGTCCGAAGTACAACCAAGAGCTACAGACGAGCAGCATTATAACGCCAATACAAACACCTATAATTGCATTCCCACACATAAAAGAAAGATGATGAATTAAGTTTTCCTTTCTATGGAACGAATGTAAATTAGTTTAGACATCATTTTAAAACTCATTTCAAAATCAAAACAACAGTGATAGTAACAATTGATAATGGGCAATCTTTCTTTTGACTACCACATACTCTTGTCTCAACCAAAAATCAAGAACTTCTATATGTTGGATGTATATATAACTTATTAAAAATATAAATCCTGCATAAACAGAAGTTCAATGGAGTCTCTCATCCCCTAGGAAAAATCATCGTACATTTGTCGTTAGTTTCAAGCATACCCCTGATTCTATAGGTTTCAAATTCAATGTTTAGTTTCTGTGAGGATGAAAAGGGATTTAGCTTTCAATAAAGTATGGTGCTTGTGCAAACTTGACGGACTAAAGAGACTTCAAGTGTGATCATGTAACACACACGTGAACACATCCGTTATTCAATTTAAAGTGGAGTTTTTAATCAAATCATAGTAAATATAAATTGAACACTTAAGGGACTAAATTAATACAATTAAAAGAATGAAAACTAAAGTAACACAAGTTAAATAACTATAATATAACACAATTAAAAGAATGAGGACATTTTGCCCTGGGAAAAATTATACAGCAACTAAACTTACCTAGAGAAACCTTAATCACAGCTAACTGCTCGTCTGACTGATCGGCAACGCAACTATCCCCATGGTACCCCTTGGCACAGGTACATGTATAGTTCCCTACGGTATTAGTACAGATCCAGTTTGGGGATGTACAGGGATTTGAATCACATTCATTTTTGTCTGCAAAACAAGTATGAGCAAACGGCACCCATTTAGAAAGTACCTATCAATGGCTATGCAATGAAAGGTTAGGATGCACGATATCGAGAATTACAAACCCAAGAAGTTTTAGTTACATTACATTTGGATTAAGGGAATACTAATAGAGTAAGTTTAGTTATGACAAAAAAAAATAAACAGAGATTGGAATTGACCCTAAAATGTTAGGATTAATCTCAAATAACCACATTTTAAGATAGGAAAATGCTACTTATACTTAAAATGATGACTTGAATTGCTAACTTGACTAATCACAATTATTAAATAGATAGTGAACTTATAAATAATGGGACTACAGTTATATCAACAACAGTGATTTAACAAATCAAATTAATATTTTTAATCTAAGTAGAACATAATGAGCACAAAATTGAATTGTAACTTTACCCTCATTTTCTATTAATTTTAGTATTGCCACGTAGGGGCCGTTTAATATGCGAGTTTGAGAGGGGTTTGAATTTTATTTTAGAAAATAAACCCCTTAAATTCATGTTTGGTAACTCATATTTAGCCTACGTTTTGGAAACAAGGCCCGTTGAATGACCCGGTCATGAAACCCATATATTTGGGTTTCATGAAACCCAAGGAGGTGAGTTTTATATGTGGATTAAAGGATTTAATATATAAATGACATTTATATCCTATATACCCCATATATATAAATTAGTTAAGGGACAAAATAATTATTTATATATAAATATATTATGATAATAATCATATATCCCTGCACATATCAAACATGAATATGAAGAATATTAAATGTTGAATCCTATCTTTGAGTTTTAACTTTAGGTTAAATCCGAGTTTGTACAATTGAATCTAAACCCTTTCCAAAAAACATATCAAATTGGCTCGTAGACCCTTGCCTGCAATGGCCAAAAATTGAATATGACATACGTACCTTGGCAACCATCGGGGAGGTATGGGTTACCTTCGTAACCATCGGAGCAGTTACAGCGATACCCAGAAGTGCCCTTGACGGAAGGTATACACTCGCTATTCTCGGCTATACATGCATAAGTACTCGAGTTCTTCTTAGCCACCTCACAAGTCTGATCTCCAACAGTCCAATCAAGCACTAGAGGAAACTTTTTAGCTCGTGTTCTTAGCTCTTCAAAAGAGGATAGCGAGAAGTTGAACTCACCTTTTTTGACCATAAACGCAAAGTTACATGGACTGAATTTCGTAATATTTTGGTTATTGGAATATCTACCTAACGTCACATTAAGGCTCCGTAGCGCTACGGGGATCGAAGTTTGACAACAGCCGGCGCCGGAACAGGAATCTCCGACGATACTATCTTTCTGTTCACATATGGATATGCAACCGGCGGTGTACCGCTGATCGTCTTTGAAGCCAGTAACAATTGCAGAAGTGTCACAACCAACTGCAGTGAACTCATTTGCGGTGCTTGAGACGGTGAATTCGCCCAAGGTGAGCCAGGGAAAGGAGGAAAAGTAGTTATTCTGCTGATCGTAACATTGATAGCCTATATTGTTCAAGATTTGCATCTGACCTTGCTCGATACTTATTTCTGTAACATTTATCCCACCTTTGCCATAAAATGCTTTTGGAGGGTTGAAAGAATAGTCACAAGTTATTAAAAAGTAGCCGTTTAGAGAGCAATCTTGTGTCAGGCCGAATGGGTACGGAATTCTGACATCCCCACAATACTCATCGCAACGGGGTTTGGTCATAACTGTTGTTGTCGTTGGATTAGCAGTTGATGATGATGATGTTGGGGACAACAACAGTATTGCAAGAGTGATCAGTTGCGCTACCGTCACATGCAACCACTCCATGATCGATCACTGATATGTATATAACTATATATCTTTTTTTCTCAGGTGGTAAAGTGTCGATCTGTCTGCAGCAGATTGCTGAACATGGTGTTTTGCTTGGCCCTTTACTCCTTTTGTAGCCACTCCGATGAAGAAAAGGTCTGCAACCACTATTCAAAGTTTGTCCCATTTCGTACACGCTTTGTGGTTGACCCACAAAATCATGTAATATCACGAATTAAGAAAAAAAAAAGGATGACACGTTTAAAAATTAATCTCAATCGTTGATATAATAATGTATTAAGTGGTATAATTTTATATTAAAAAATGTGTAATTATCACAGTTTACAATAATGATATATTATACCATGTCACTATAACATCATTAAATTAAAAAAGTAAGTCAAATTTTTAAGTTCAAATAAGATTACTTCTAAAATATTTCTCAAATTTGTGTTTTAAATTTAATTACAAGGATTATTGGTGAAAAAAATAATATGAATGTTTGAACGGTGTGTCAACTTATTTTTTTTAAATGGACTAATTAATTCAATTTTGCATATTGATTTAAAATATAAAACTTGGGAGACGTTTTGAGGAGTTAATCATGTAATAACTTTACACCATATAATTTGAATTAAATTATTCGCATTAATTCGTTGCATGTTTCAATATTACACATATGTAGTACACAATTAATTCAACATGGTAACAAATTTGAATAATAAATTTGATCCAAATATAATTATTCAGTAACTTTTTTGTGAAGTCAGTTTTTCATTCTATTTTATCTAAAGTTCAAAGAAATTTCATGTCTATTTTATCTCTTACCTCATTTTTTTTTTTTGCCATCTTTAAGAAAATGTTACTTTTACAATCAACTTTAGTTTCGACTCTCTTCACACATGAAATCGAGACCTTATCAAATGCTTCTTCTGACTCCTCGCTCAGGCTAATTTAATTACCAAATTAAGTTAATTTTTTTATAATTGGAACAAATTAACAAATAATAAATTAAATTTATAAATAAAATCAATAAATAATATTACTCCTCAAAAACAATTGGATAAAGTGAGCCTTCAATTTTCCCGCAAGGCAAAATCTATAGGGGGAAAATGCCCATTTTAGATGGATCCACATGAAGTTTACTTGACTCGAACCTTTTGGCGGGACTCATAGGAATCTTTCTCGGAAGCCACGCATTAATCGTTTTTGAGGAAAAGTTGTACATTGTTTCACCTTTTTCCTCCTAATAAAATTGAGTGGGAAAAAAAGCTAGAAGTGTTTGGCACTTGAAGAGAATTAGTGATATACCTCTTCTGGACCAAACAATTTTCTGTGTGAAAATTCTCTCCTTTGAAAGTTTCAAATATTATGACACATTCGTATACACAATTTGACTCATACAAATGATTAATTAGTCTTCGCGCTAATTACGTGATGAATAATACGTGGTGAATTTGGTTTAGTCTCATTCGTATACACAATTTGACTCATACAAATGATTAATTAGTCTTCGCGCTAATTACGTGATGAATAATAATTTGGAAGAATTAAAGTCTTCAAACTTGAAGTCTTCAAACTCCTTATTCAGGCTAATTTGGTTAGTAAATTGAGTCAATATTATGCTTGAATCAAATTAATAATAATAAATAAAATAAATAAAATTTTTCAATATATTAGATTTACACAATATTATTCCTCAAAAAACTTGGATAAAGTGAGCTTCAATTTTCCCCTCAATACAAAAGCTTTAGAGCAATGCTAGGAACTTAATTCAATATTGTTATTAGAATAATTGGGAATTATAATATTAGAAGAAGCTCATTTTCAAACCACCAACGGTAGTGATTAAATCTTTATATTAGTTTTCTAAATTACCCGAATAGTATTTTTCAAACAAGTTGAATTTATGGTGTTTACTTGGCTTACACCTTTTGGTGGGACCCATACGACTCTTTCTTCGAATCTGCACATTAGTCGCACTTGAGGAAAAATAACCATTTTGATACTCCTCTTTTCCTCTATTGGCGTGGAAATAAAAACTATGAGCGGCATAAAAACTAAGCAGTCTTCTAGACCAAACAATTTCTTCCATTGCGTGTGACATTTATCAAACTCTTTCTTAGAAATGCTTTGGGATGATTAATGAACGAGATGTCGGAAGTTATTAAAAAATATTGGTCTAAATAACAAGTTTCACATGCAGTCGGGGGTCGTGGTTGATCCACATAATCACTTTCTCAAATTTATATTTTAAATTAAGACAAAAAATATTATTTATATCTAATTTAAGAATTTAATTTGTGGAATTAAAGTTAGATAGTAGTGAGTTTTATCTAATATTGAGACTAATTGGTGATCTAATGAATACAATGAATTAGGTTGATGAATTAAGCCCAAGTAATATTGCTTAATAAATATAGATAGTTTGATCGGTGACTCCCATTATTTTCTAAATAAAATTCGTCAATTCAGCCATTCAAACTGATTTAAGCCGTAAAATTTGAAAACCATTTTGAGAATTGTAACAATGTTAATCATGTAAAAACTTTCAATCATATAATTTGGACTAAATTTGTTGATAAAACTTATACTAATTGTTAAATTAATAGTGAATTTTAATATAAAATAGAGTCCGCTTTCAATTGAACAATAATAAAAAATTTATTAATAAATATTATTAATAATTTTTTCGTAAATGAAATTCTATTGAAGTTAAAAGAAACTTTCTTTTTTGTTTTCATTTTTACTTGAATCTCCTCATAAAATATTGCTCATATAATCATATTTCAATTTCAGTTTACTTGACACATGGAATGGTCACCATACCAATGTTTCTTCTACCTCCTCGTTCAAGCCAATTTGGTCTATAATTAAGCCAATATTAATACTTACATCAAATTAATAAATTGTGTCGATTTTAAACAATTTTTTTTTTTGATGCGAAACGGCAATCTTTGCTCTTCAAAAAATTTGGGTAAAGTGAACCATTCGATTTTTCCACGATGTAAAATCCAAGATAATAGGAAAATGGCTCTTTTGGTTGGACCCACATGAAGCTTTAATGATGGTGTGGGACATATATGACTCTTCCTTAGAGTCTGCCCGTTATTCATACCAGAGGAAAAGTAAGACAATGTCATTTCCTTTTCCTTTCATATTTCACCATCAATAAAATTGAGTTGTGGAATAAAAACCCCTTTCTTCGACTTGAAACAAAATGGGTTAATTGCGGTGGAGTTTCCCGATGTATGCGTTGGAATCATTAAAATAAAATTGAAAATACGAGAGGCTAAATTAATGAAATTAAAATATTGAGTATTAAAATGATACGTAATGCATAACATTAGGGACATTAGGGACGTCACTTATAATTTACCCCAAACTAAATTGGTTGGTGGAATAAAAACTACAATTCTTTTGAGTCTTGAAAAAAAAATTGTGATATTGTGCTAAATAGTGAGTTCCACACCTCTTATATACCAAACATAAGAAAAATATAAATTTTTTGTAACCCTATCATATTGTACTTTCATCAATTTTAGTCATTCAATTTTAAAGGGCAAAATTCAGTTTACTCCCTTGTGATTTGGGTGTTTACACATGACCCCTATATGATTTGGAAATCAGAACATTATCCCCTTGTGCTTTTGGACCGATATGCACAATTAACACCGTAAGTAGAAAAGATAAAATGATTTTAGTTCCCTGAACTATTCATCATCTTTTTCGTCTCTCTCAATTGTTGCCTAATTTTAATTTTTTGAAAAATCAACCAACTACCCAACTTTACAAGTTTTTCTCTCTCTCTATAATGCACCAAACTTCCTCAAACCAATGTCAATATCCTCCACTCTCAACCTAGTTTTAAACCTCACAGACTTGTTTCCTTAAATAGCCCCCATGATCCACTAATTTAACCTCAAATGTGATCACAAACTCATTTTGACAAGTTATGTACATACCAGATTTTTTTTAACATTTGGGCCAATTTTGACCCGTAATTTCTCCCTCGTTTCTCAACCTTTTTGGGTGATTTAAATGCCTAAATTTAATCTGTTTCTACCCTCTTTCCAGCCATGTATTTAGTTTGTCCAAATCATGCAAAAGGTAAGTGAAAATCGAGCTCCAAAGTAACGGGTTCATCATTTTTAAAAATTATCACGATTTTTAATTCAAATTTTCACCCACCAAACCTCATTTTTTCTAGATTCTAACTTCAAAAATGGATTCCTTGACCCTAAAAATGGTGGATTAGGCCACCCTTCACCTCCAAAACTTGAAATTTTGAATACCCAAAAATTCAAGTTTCAAGCTTAATTCTATGTTGCCCCTCAATTTTTAATTCAATGTTGTCTCTCTCTCACTCTCTCTCTCTCTCTCTGACTCAGCAACGTCACTGTCCCCTCTCTCTCTTCTTCATCATCTCTCTCCATCAGCAACCCCCTTTCCCCTCTCTCTTTCTCTAAGTAGCAACCACATCATTGCGTTACTGCCAAACAAGCATATACGCCTCTTTACTCCCATCTTTGCCTTTACTCTCTTGTCCCTCGTTCACTTCTCCCTCTCACCCTACAACACCGCTGCCAAATAGCCCTCTTAGGTATTTCTCCATCCTATCCCTTCCTCCCTTGCCCTCTCCTCTCTGCGCAAACTCTCTCTTCCTAGGCTCTCCTTACCGCGACCAACGACAGCATCACAATGGCACCCTTTTCTTGCACATAACCTGTTTGATGAAATGCCTAAAAAAAGAAAAATTTTCTCACCACCACCATGGTTGTTGAACCTGCAAATATACAAAAAGAAGATCCTACCATGATTATTGAACCTCTAGCCATTAGTTATTCCTATGGTTTGAGTGGTAAGATGAATTTCACTTGAGCTGTGCATAGTTAAGAATCATCCACTTAATTTTAATTTTTAAAATTTTGTTGTTAAAAATTTTGATAAGGAGATAGTGCTTGGAGTGAATTTTTTGAAAAAAATATGATAGTCAACTGTTTAGGAAGATGAAGATT